GTCAGGAAGGAATAGTGCTCCATCATTGGTGTCAGGAAGGAATAGTGCTCCATCATTGGTGTCAGGAAGGAATAGTGCTCCATCATTGGTGTCAGGAAGGAATAGTGCTCCATCATTGGTGTCAGGAAGGAATAGTGCTCCATCATTGGTGTCAGGAAGGAATAGTGCTCCATCATTGGTGTCAGGAAGGAATAGTGCTCCATCATTGGTGTCAGGAAGGAATAGTGCTCCATCATTGGTGTCAGGAAGGAATAGTGCTCCATCATTGGTGTCAGGAAGGAATAGTGCTCCATCATTGGTGTCAGGAAGGAATAGTGCTCCATCATTGGTGTCAGGAAGGAATAGTGCTCCATCATTGGTGTCAGGAAGGAATAGTGCTCCATCATTGGTGTCAGGAAGGAATAGTGCTCCATCATTGGTGTCAGGAAGGAATAGTGCTCCATCATTGGTGTCAGGAAGGAATAGTGCTCCATCATTGGTGTCAGGAAGGAATAGTGCTCCATCATTGGTGTCAGGAAGGAATAGTGCTCCATCATTGGTGTCAGGAAGGAATAGTGCTCCATCATTGGTGTCAGGAAGGAATAGTGCTCCATCATTGGTGTCAGGAAGGAATAGTGCTCCATCATTGGTGTCAGGAAGGAATAGTGCTCCATCATTGGTGTCAGGAAGGAATAGTGCTCCATCATTGGTGTCAGGAAGGAATAGTGCTCCATCATTGGTGTCAGGAAGGAATAGTGCTCCATCATTGGTGTCAGGAAGGAATAGTGCTCCATCATTGGTGTCAGGAAGGAATAGTGCTCCATCATTGGTGTCAGGAAGGAATAGTGCTCCATCATTGGTGTCAGGAAGGAATAGTGCTCCATCATTGGTGTCAGGAAGGAATAGTGCTCCATCATTGGTGTCAGGAAGGAATAGTGCTCCATCATTGGTGTCAGGAAGGAATAATGACAAAATGCTCAAAACAAGTAATCTCCTTCATTTCTACGGCCCCTGTTCACACCTGATCGTTTTGTCGCACAAAGTTTTCCATTGAAGTCTATGGGACCAAAAAACCCTGTAATCTGACAAAAAGTAGCTCACGGACTATTTCCAGCGGCAGGCGGTTTTCTCATTGCGACAAAATGCTCAGGTGTGAACAGGGGCCATAGAAATGAATGTGGGTCATCGGCTTGAGCGTTTTGTTGCACTTACCTTTGAGTGACACAACGCCTAGCTGTGAACGGGGACTGAGAGTATTACAAGCTTCCATGCGCTCCACTGTTGAGAGACTGCCAGCACTCTTCAAGGGGTCCCTCTGTCTGTTCATTTTGCAGCTCTGGAGTCAAACCAGCTTCAGACGTGTGTCTCTTGTGCTCCTCCATCACACTGCTTCAAACATGCATAATTCTGAGCTCGCCTGCGGGAATCAATCCACACAGCTAATATGGTGTCCGTGTGGACAGGCTGGCTAGTCCCCATTGTACTTGGGATCCTGCAAACACCAAAGGGGACATAGCTAGGACTCAATTTTGTTGCTGGTAACTCCCGGCTTTCTCAAGGGGTATGACCATTACCAGAGAACAGCCGGGACAAGGATCCTTAAAAAAGTAACGATTTCGGAAGCCAAACAGGGTTTAGTGACCACTGTGTGAGATTAAGGCCATTTAACAGGATCGTTGTGTTCCCTGAATCAGTATTGGGCTATACTGTTGACTTCAGGAGATTGGATGCCATCAAAGCAATGGGCAACCCAGTATAGCCCCTCCCATTCTCAGCATGCCTCAGTTTTTTGTAGCGTATGCCTGAAACCCCTTCTTTATTACAAAACCAAGGTCTTCCCCATCCTGTTCTGGGTTTATTCGTTTATCTGTGATGATTCATTCTCCTCTTGGGTCAGGTTTGTCATTCCTAACAGGGTTATTCACAAAATGGTGAAGACTTTAGAGAAGTGAACAATCTAGGCCCAAATAGCTGATTTGGAAAAATTCTCCGGTTCAGCTCACTTTCCGGTTCAACTAGATTGTTCACTTCTCCTGCCTTCTCCAAACGCTTCGCCCTTTTGGGAAGAACCCTGTAGATCTTACTCTCTTTATCACCCTTAACAATGTCCCGGCTTCGTTTACAGCTAAAGCTGAGCCGCTTCCTCTGGGGTCACACAATGATAACTTGTAGTCCTGGCTTGAGCTTTCCCAGCTTTGTTAGTTCTCTTCTTGCTTCCTCTGACATTACATCATTCCCGATCCTAGAAGAGAGGATATAAATGGTGATCAGATCTCAGCAGAACACTCTCACACTATTTCCCAGCATCCTCCAGAACTTCTATATTACATCAACCTGTCACCTTCTTGTAGGACATCAGAATAGGTGACACTGCAATATGGAGGATGATGGGTGATAGACTATAAAACAAGGAATATTTTTCCTCGCTGGACATTTGTCCTGTAAGAGCTATTGTGTGATATCTCACAGTCATCTACCACATTCAGACTTCACTTTCCCAGCTCTGTAATTTTTCAGGGCAGGCATGGCTCTGAATGGAAGATATGTGGTAACATGGAGCAGTTCTAATGAATAAGGCTGAATATGTTTTATGGAAAAAGAAAATAGTTACATAGTATTTGAGGATGAATAAAGACAACCAACCTATGATGTGTGCACGTGTGTGTGTGTGTGTGTGTGTGTGTGTATATATATATATACATATGCATATGTCCTTGTATCAGTTCATTCTTAAGAGTACCTGTACCCCTGTATGTTATGGTTTCTCAGTAAATCGTCCAAAAGCTTCTTGAATTATTCCACACTCTTAGCTGAGATCACTGCCTGTGGCATCGAGTTCCAGACCCTAACCGCTCTAACTGTGAAGAACCCCCTTCGCCCCTTGTGCTGGAAAAATTTTTCCCACCAATTTTAGGTAGTGCCCTCTAGGCTTTGTTACGGAGTTAATCGTAAAGAGTTTGTTGCCAATGTTGCTGTCACCATTGAACAATTTGTACATGAAAATCATATTCCCCCTTAATCTCCTCACTTCCAACGTCAACATGTTTAAATTTAGTAGCCTTGTCCCATAGCTCCCGTCCTCCATTCCCCTAATTAGTTTGGTTGCCCTCTGCTGGACTCTAGCATATGACAGATCATGCAGAAAAGCACCTGTTTCTATCTAACAGTGAGGAGGGCTCCATGAACTCAGATTGAACTCAATGGACCTTTGTCTTTAGTCAACCGTAACTACTATGTAATGTTGGAAGAAGGTGTAGAAGCCTTATAAGAGGGTTATTCATAATGTAATATTAGAACACACTACATTACAACACTACACTGAGTGGGCAGATTATTATGACCACCCCATCAGTACTTCGTTGGGCCGCCTCGTGACTCCACAAGATGGTGAATGGTGATGCGAGGAATCTGACACGGCCCTGTCGCCCTTCTGTTGTCTTGTACCAGTCTTGCCACTCTCCGTTCTGCCCTAACATTGACTAGTCGCTGACGGCCACAATTCGCACGTTCAGTCCCAGATTTTCGGCTGACAGTCCAGTCTTTAAACACTTTAACAACAGCTGCTCTTGAACATTTAACTAATTCTGCTGTTTTGCTGATAATCGCTCCATGGCTCCGAGCGCCAACAATCATCCCGCGTTCAAAGGCTGTTAAATCGCGTTGTTTCCCCGTATCTTCAGAGACAAATCACTTCTACTGTCGTGGTAAACAACCTGCTTCCCTATTTATAATGGTCTGGCCCTCTAGCAACTTCAGCGCCAAATTATAGCTAATTTGCCTACAAACGTCAGGTGGTCATAATAAACTGGCCAAACCTATCCAAAGCAGGAAAAATATATCAGTTTCATTTATTTTTAGCGTTATTAGACCAAAACAAGCTTTCACAGATACCCTGTTTCGCCGAAAATAAGACCTACCCCGAAAATAAGACCTACCCCGAAAATAAGACCTAGTTGTGACCATTCCCAGGGCCGGTGGTGGCATAAAGGGGAAACTTGAAGAGCCACGGGAGAGGCGGGAGAGAATCAGCGGTGCCAACGAAGTCAGCGCTAGAGGAAACGAGGCGGCACCGGAGGGAGCAGAGCCGCATAAGCCGATGTTTCCTCTATAGCGTCAGCTCCTGTCACAGGCGGAGTGATACCAAATGTACTCCGCCTGTGAGGAGTGATAGTGGAAGCGCGCTTCGCTCATTCTGCCCAGTGATTGGTTAGCAAATTGCTCTTGGAAAGGTACGGCACCCCTGAATGCCCTGATCACCATATTTTTGTACATGAGTACATGTAGACTTTTCTACATGAATAAGTGTGAATTGTTGTACATTACAAAAAAAATAAAAAATAAGACCTACCCCTAAAATAAGACCTAGTGTGATTGTTTGAGCCAAAAAAATATAAGACAGAGCCCTGCAAAATGCTTATAAATAGACCCCATAGTAATACTATCTGTGTAAAATAAATGCATTTGTTACATAGTTTTATTTGTTTCCATCTGGCTACAGAACCATTCCTATAATGATTCTTCCGCATAACAGGCAGCGTGTCAGGTCACTAAGTGGGTCTGGACTTTCCATCCAATAAAACTGGTCGTCCGCAAATGAAGAGTCACCTTGTGCAGTGACATCAACACAGCCACACACACCCATTTGATGTATTGTTTACCTTCTTTTCATTGTTTTGACCAGCCAAAGCTTTATTGACAAAAGGACAGTTTTATGGCTGATAACAAAATGTGATTAAGTATTAGACAACTGCCTGGAATAGGCTATTTATGGAATCTAAAGATGGCCTTTGGTTACATTATTATATTTCTTAGACATGTGCGATTCGTTTCGTTGCAAATCGAAATTCGTACGAATTTTCCTCAAATTCGTAAATTCGGAAGCATCCGAAATCCGAATTGAGTTTCGGACACGAATTACGAAATAACGGATACATTTTTTGACATTTTTTGCTATTTATGTATAGTTTAGATATAAAACTGTCCCAGAATATTATTGTCTCAGTCAGTCCTGTTATACTCACCGTAATTCCTCTATCCGGCTTGTTGTCAGAGCTTCCATTAGATCCCGGAAATGAGGACCCTCCAGATTGTTCCCAGACAGGTCCAGTGTCCTCAGTGTCTGGTTATTTCTTATTCCAGATGCCAGGTCGGGGCAGGAAATGTCTGTCAGATTATTATTATCCAATCTGTAGAAGAAGAGAAGAATGTTACCAGAAGTAAATGAATGTCTCCCCCAGGAATGAATGTAACTATTCTCTACATGAATGGAACTCATTTCTCTTTATTGGAATCATTTATGTTCCATCACTTTATAAAGCTCCAGGAAATAAACAGTGTGGCAAATAATGATTTGATCCCCTGCAGATTTTGTAGGTTTGCCCACTTACAAAGAAATTAAAGGTCTATAATTTTTTTTATCATAGGCGTATTTTAAATGATAGAGACAGAATATCAACCAAAAATCCAGAAAAATCACATGATACAAATGTTATAAATTGAGTTGCAGTTCAGTGAGTAAAATAAGTATTTGATCCCCCAGCAAAACATGACTTAGTACTTGGTGGAGAAACCCTTGTTGGCAAGCACAGAAGTAAGACATTTCTTGGAGTTGGATACCAGGTTTGCACACATCTCAGGAGGGATTTTGGTCCCTTTACAGATCTTCTCTAAATCCTTAAGGTTTCTTGGCTGTCGTTTGGCAACTCGAAGTTTCAGCTCCCTCCATACATTTTCTATGGGATTAAGGTCTGGAGACTGGCTAGGCCACGCCATGACCTTCATGTGCTTCATCTTGAGCCACTGCTGTTTCCACCTCCATGCTTGACCGTAGGGATGGTGTTCTTAGGGTCATAGTCAGCATTTTTCTTCCTCTAAACACGGCAAGTCGAGTTAATGCCAAACAGCTCCATTTTGGTCTCATCTGACCACAGCACTTTCTCCCAATCCTTCTCTGAATAATTTAGATGTTCATTGGCAAACTTCAGACGTAGATGTGCCATCTTGCAGAGGGGGACCTTGCGGGCACTCAATCCATGGCGGCGTATTGTGTTACCAATGGTTTGTTTGGTGACTGTGGTCCCAACTGCCTTGAGATCATTCACAAGCTCCTCCCGTGCAGTTCTGGGCTGATCCCTCACTTTTCTGATGATCGTCCTTACCCCATGAGGCGAAATCTTGCATGGAGCTCCAGACCGAGGGCGATTGATGGTTATTTTGGATTCCTTCCATTTACGAATAATCGCTCCAACAGTTGCTTCCTTCTCACCAGGCTTCTTGCTGATAGTCTTGTAGCCCATTCCAGCCTTGTGCAGGTCTACAATCTTGTCTCTAACGTCCTTTTACAGCTCTTTGGTCTTGCCCATGGTTGTGAAGTTTGAATGGAAGAAAGATTCTGTGGACAGGTGCACATGCAGCAAAATTGTGGAGCACATGTAGCACCCAAATTTATCTTTTGCTACATGTGCTCCAAGATGGAGACTCTCGTAGGTTAGAGTTAGGACTGCACTACACAGAGGGGTCTTGACGAGGCAGTGCAGCTTTCACATATTCAGAAGACGTGCATCTAAAACCTCTGTTTTTAACCTTAGAGGTTAGACAGGGGTTTTTTGTTGCATGCTGGCTGGTGAGTGTACTGAGAAACCTTTTGCTTTTTCCGCCCAAAAAGCATGTACATTGTCCTCGGGAAATTGGTGGTCATGCAGCGAACCGAACTTTGCTTGGTTCGCTCGTCACTGAATCCAGCATCTCTGAAGAGTGAGTACAGACACTAGGGTTACTAAATGTGCACGTAGAAAGATACAGGAAAAACACAGATAACTTCTGCCCAGGCTCCTTTGCTAACCTGAAAGGAACAGGCCTGTTTTAGGAACACTGCATGTACAGCCCTATCAGCAGCCCTTGAGTTTGAATGTAAATGTATCCCAGAATATTATTGTCTCAGTCAGTCCTGTTATACTCACAGTAATTCCTCTATCCGGCTTGTTGTCAGAGCTTCCATCAGATCCCTGAAATTAGGACCTTCCAGTTTGTTTACAGACAGGTCCAGTGTCCTCAGTGTCTGGTTATTTCTTATTACAGATGCCAGGTCGGGGCAGGAACTGTCTGTCAGCTGATTATTATACAAACTGTAAAAGAAGAGAAAATGAATTTCTCACCCAGGAATGAATGTAACTATCCTCTACATGAATGGAACGCATGGAACTCAAGGTCAGACTGTGCAATGCTCAGAGAAATTACAAAAAAACTATTACACCTCGGGTTTACAGACCTCAGATAGCATGTTAAATGTTAACGTTTAGGACAGTACAATTAGAAAAAGACTGAACAAGTATGGTTTGCTTGGAAGGGTTGCCAGGAGAAAGCATCTTCTCTCTACAAAGAATATGGCAGCACAGCTTAGATTTGCAAAGCTACATGTCACGGATACTGGCACAGGTGACCCCACACCTGCGCAGGTACCCACACAGGCAGACCAAACACATGTGACCACACGGACCAGGCAAGTATGTGATATATGTATAGGTTGTTTAATATACACAGAAGACTAATAGCAACAACCAACAACAGGGCTCACAGGTAACACGGTTCAAACAGGGTTCAGGAATCACAGGTAACAAGGTTCAAACAGGGTTCAGGAATCACAGGACACAATCAGGGTTCAAGGTTCAGGACTGGGATCAGGACTCACAGGAAACAATACTGAGCCATCATCCTGACTGCAGGGAGGGTTTAAATATCCTCCCAGGAAGCACCAGGTGATGGCTAAGTACTGGCAGCTGGGAAACACCCGCAGGTGAGCACTGGAGCTGCAGGTCGCAGCACCACCCAGTGGTGGTCTGGTACCTAGCAGTTCCTGGATGCCTAGAGAATCCTGCAGGTGAGCCCAGGAACTGCAGGGCTTAGCTCCAGCGCCACCTGGAGGCGCTCTGGATCCTAACACTGCATCTGAAAACACCATGAGCCTTCTAAAACAATGTCCTTTGGGCAGATGGGATCAAAGTGGAGATGTTTTTTTTAAAAAAAATTCACTTTCAAACTTCCCGCCGGCTCCGCCCCCCTGCGTCGCGGCTGCTCGTAAGGGACGGAACCCGGAAGTCGGCAGCGGCCGGAGGACACAGCGGGGATCGCGGACAAGGTAAGACCTGTACGCTGTATTCCCGAGTGTGGCTCGGGGTTACCGCTCTGTTAACCTCGATCCACACTCGGGAATAACAAGGGAAATGTGCGGAAAATACGCCCCAAAGAAGCTCCTGTACTTCTTTGGGCGTAGGGCATTTTACAGCGCTTCACTACGCACTGCAATACGCCCAGGTGGCAACCATGCCCATAGGAAATAATGGGACTTCAGTGTTTGAGCGTTTTACAGCGTGTAGGTACGCGCTGTAAAACGCCCAGGTGGAAACCAGGCCTAAATGTCACCAAAGGTCACCCAGCCCCCCTACAACAGCCAAAAGACATGACACTGGGCTGGTTGGTTAGTGCCACATTGGCTACAGAGAGGAAAAGGGGATTAAATATAATTTCAGTCAGTCCTGTTATACTCACTTTAGTTTCTCTATCCGGCTTGTTGTCAGAGCTTCCATCACATCCCTGAAATGAGGACCCTCCAGATTGTTCTCAGACAGGTCCAGTGTCCTCAGTGTCTGGTTATTTCTTATTCCAGATGCCAGGTCGGGGCAGGAAATGTCTGTCAGCTGTGTTGTAGACAATCTGTAGAAGAAGAGAAGAATGTTACAAAAATGAATTTCTCCCCCAGGAATGAATGTAACTATTCTCTACATGAATGGAATGCATTCTAATGTGACTTTTAGTAAAAGGGGTAAAGGTCAACTTTAAATACTATTTCTGGGTCAGTTGTCTTGGTTTTATGACAAGAATCAGATAAATAAATAGCTATAAAAGTTTGCAAAACAAAACAGACGGTCACTTTCAGATGGCAGGCCCCAGGCCAGAATTAATCATTCAAATTCATCCCCACAGACATATAAGGTTAGATTTTAAGTTCAGAATTTTAGATTTTATGCAGGATTCAGTAAACTCCACGCTTACTGAACCCAGCAACATGCACTCATCCCAACAACAAATATCTTCTCTAATTTATTTTCTCCTATTATCCCAAGTACAGGTACCCACATACATGTAAGTTTTAATACAAACATCACTGCTTTGTGGTCAATAAACAAGTGTGTATATTTTAGATTTCTATGTATTAAACATTTTCTAGTATAATGGCTGTAATTCATCCAATGGCCTGGGACAACAATAACGTACAGGATGGCCATTGTGAAGGGGCTAAATAGCTGAAAGGATGTTTCTATACTGATGGCGAGTGTGAAGGGGTTAAGTTTTTAGAAAAACATTATTTTATAGCTCATAACAGAGTGTGATAAGACCAAGAATTAGACAACTGTCTGGGTTCCACTTTATGTGGAGTCTAAAGATGCATTTTGAATATATTAGCATATTTATATATTATTTATGTGGTTTAGCTGCCAAACTGTCCCGGAATATTATTGTCTCAGTCAGTCCTGTGATACTCACTGTAATTCCTCTATCCGGCTTGTTGTCAGAGCTTCCATCACATCCCTAAACTGTGGACCCTCCAAATTGTTCCTCGATAGTCCCAGTATTTGCAGTGTCTGGTTATTTCTTATTCCAGATGCCAGGTCGGGGCAGGAAATGTCTGTCAGATGACTACCATCCAAACTGTAGAAGAAGAGAAGAATGTTACCAGAAGACAATGAATTTCTCCCCCAGGAATGAATGTAACTATTCTCTACATGAATGGAACTCATTTCTCTTTATTGGGATCATTTATGTTCCATCACTTTATAAAACTCCAGTAATATAATTTTATAAGAGAAATGTTATAATGGAGTAGACCCCCCAATATTGTCCTCCATGTGTAGAGACGATGATCTCTCCATACACAGGATGAGCACAGAATACCACTGACATGACTCGTATTGTGCTATAATCTCCTTGTGTATGGAGCATGAATGGTATCAGCAGACAGTGTGAGGAATCAGCATTGCTAGTGAATGGACGGGATGATTTTTATCTGATATTCTATTTTTCTCTGCTGATAAGAGCTCTGTACTCATAGAAAGTAATGGGAAGATCCCCGACACTGAATAGCAGATGTGTAAGAATGTGAGATCGGACAACACTGAATAAGAGATGTGCATTAATGTGGGGATTCCCCGAGACTTAATAGATGTGCAGTAATGGAAAGATCCCTGAACACTGAATAATAATGGTGCATGAAAGCAGATCTGCAGCTGCCTTTCATACATTATATTATTATATTTATATATTATTTGTGTAGTTTAGATATAAAACTCTCTAACAGTCTCAAAATGATATTGTCTCAGTCAATCCTGTTATACTCACTGTAATTCCTCTATCCGGCTTGTTGTCAGAGCTTCCATCAGATCCCTGAAATGAGGACCCTTCAGATTGTTATTAGACAGCCCCAGTGTCCTCAGTGTCTGGTTATCTCTTACTCCAGATGTCAGGTCGGGGCAGGATCTGTCTGTCAGATGATTATCATACAAACTGTAGAATGAGAGAAGAATGTCACCAGAAGAAAATACATTTCTTTCCAAGAGACAAATAGAACTATTCTCTCCATACTGTAAACTAAACTATTATTTTTCCTCATTGGAATCATGTATTTTAGATTACTTTATGAAACTCTGGTAAACATAATGTGGGGGACCTACTTTATGCTGGAGTGTCCATACTCCAAATTTAGTGTTGCAGCCTGAGTGTAAGACTATACCTGGCCATGTGGGTGCTCCTGCGCATCTGCGTAGTCCTGTCTTCCGCATTTGCGGGATACATGCACTAATGCGCATTCACGCTCAACGGAACGTGCGCGCAAAGACGCGCTAACGTGGCACACAGGAAATGACACAGCTTCCCTGACTAGATGGTCCGATTTAAACCTGCCTTGATCCAGATCTCTCTGGACTTGACTACGCCTGACTGCTGCCTGCCCCTGACCCTGCTTGCTCCCGAACTATTCTTCTGCCTGCCGCTTTTCTACTTCGCTGCCCGATCGGTGTTGACCCTGGCCTGCCTGACTCCCTCCTGCTCCAGCAGTGTTCCTCGTTGTCCTTCCAGCTGCAGCCACACCTGCTTACTGCGAGACCAGCTTCGGGACTTACCCATAGACAGTGCCCTAAACCCTCTGGCACCAGTGCTCCTCTCTGTCCTCTCACTCCCTGTCTCCACTCTCAGGGATGTGGGACAGAAGTTGCAAAGGAGGCCTCCTCAACTACTTGGTTCTCTACCAGGTAAGTGATACTGAGACTTAATTGTTACTTCTACTGGGTTCCAGGGTTTCTCCTAAGCTCAGGACATTGTTTATGTATGCCTGTTGCTGGATAGTTTTGGTTTATGCCAGTGCTATGAAATAGGTAAGGAGAAATATATTTGGGGACACCTTCTAGAAGGGTATATGCCTTTGTCATACACCCGAGTTTTGGAGAGGTATGGTGGATCTCAGCTGCGGTTCTAACTGGTTGTTTTAAGCGGTTGTCAGGCTATAATCCCAGGCGGTTCTCTCAATCACAAACGGAGAGTTTGGGATTTAGACATCATGGACCGCAAAACAATAATCAAAGCAAAAGATGAAATTGTACCAGGGGTATTTAAGTCATACTCCTTTTAGCTGAACACTTCAGGGGTTGGTAACGATTAAGATAAGACAGGCTCTAGTTTAAGCGGCAGCAGCAGTTCACTTAACCAGCCTAGGATATCAGTTTTAGTATAATATGAGGAACAGCAGCAATTCCCTTATAGCGCATAAGATATCAGGTTTTGGTATGATATGAGGAAATACTTAGAAGGCTCCACTAGGTGGCAGAGTACAGGCTCCAACAGGAGTGAACACAGTCCATCAAACAGATACTTGTGGTTTAGGTGCTCTACTCAGTGGCTTGTAGCAGGTGAACTCCAGAGAAGGTAGGCTGCTGGGGAAGCTTTGGGGTCCGATTGTGCGGGGTACCGAGGGTCCTGCAGAGGTTCCGGGGTGAGTTGGGCAATGATCCCAACGATCGAACACCCTACAGCGTTTCCAGGAGGTTTAAATAGGCCGTGACGTCACACGGCCGCGGTGAGCTTCCGCGTTCCAGGGTGGAACGCACATACTTCCTGACAAGGGGAAGGAGGCCTGCGGCAGACTCCCAGGCCGATGCGTTCCAGCGTGGAACGCAGCCTGCGAGTGCCGCGAATCTGCGGAACATCACAGCCTTTCATGCATTGCCTCTAGAGGATGTGAATACAGTAGGGAAGGGATGCACCGATAACATTTTTTCAAAGACTGAGTACCAATACTTTTCCTCAAGTACTCACCAATACCATTTACTAATACCTTGTTTTTCTAAAACAATACAGATTAATGATTTTATGATTAATGATTTTAGGACAGTGGTGGCGCGCACAAATCCCAGCAATACATTAAACAGCAATGCAGAATAATACCATCTGCTGTAGAGGGCCACAAATCTTAGCAATATATTATACAGCAATGCAGAATACCATAAGCTATAGAGGACTACAAATCTCAGCAATACATTATACAGCAATGCAGAATAATACGATTAGCTGTAGAGGGCCACAAATCCTAGCAATACATTATACAGCAATGCAGAATACCATAAGCTATAGAGGACTACAAATCTCAGCAATACATTATACAGCAATGCAGAATTGCACCGGCTATAGAGGACTACAAATCCCAGCAATACATTTTACAGCAATGTAGAATAATATATTAATTGACTACATACTCTGCTGCTGCTGCTCTGCTCCCGGGGTGTCGGCTTGATGTCTCAGGAGGTTCTCAGGAGGGGGAGATGTGCGGGTTGGGTGGAAGCGCTGTAAACAGGCAACGCATGGTTCCCAAGAAGGCTGCCGCGAGGTCCCAAGCCAAAAAGGAAAGTGCGGGTATCGTTTTTTTGTATCAGGGCATTTTCACTGTAGGAGTATTCATGAAAATGCCCAAACTGCTTATTTAGTTATCTCATGCTCTAACCCTCTTTCCTGATTTTGTTGAGCTAAATAAACTCTCCTTAAATATACTAAAGTGACTAGTGCCCATTTCCTTTTACCCTGCAATGAATCAATGATTCATCCGTGAGGTATAAGGTACTATACCGAGCCCCCCGAGCCCCGGGGAAGGGGGGGGGGGGGGCTCAGAGGTAAGGGCTACCATAATTTTATAATAAAATGTTATAATGGAATGGACACACCAATATTGCCATCCATGTATAGAGACCATGATATCTCCATACCACAGGATCACCACAGAATACCACTGACATGAACTCATTTTGTGGTAGGGATTAGACAAAATGATTGTTATTTTTGATATTCTATTGATTTCTGCTTATAAGAGCTCCATACTCATTGGAAGGTCATGTCAGGTGACCAGAAGCACTGATTGCTCATTGCAGTAAGACTGGATTTCATCTTGTATGAGCATCTATTATCTCATCTATTTTACGATTTACAGGACTAAGTAGAATAAAAGATTTTAACAAGATTAAAGAAAAAGATTAATTCATGGCTGATACCAGAATTGTCAGGGAACCAAGAAACCAGACAGAAACTTAAAGTACAGGTTAAAAAATAAAAGGAGTTTATTGAAAATAACAATAAACAAACATGGCAAAAAACAATGGAGAAAGTCCAGGACATGGGTGATACCAAGCCAGAGGTCATATGCCAAAGATGGTAGTCAGCCGAACCAGGTCAGGGAACACTGAGAGTCAGGAACCAGGAGATCTGTCAGCCAAAGTACAGGAACAACAGCAGAGAACTTGGTAGATCTAAACACACGCAAGGGCGGAGACTGAATAGACCAGCTGATGGTTAAATAGTGAACCAGTGTTACATCATTACTCTGAGACAGGAAGTTGCCAGAAGTTTGCAGAATGATGATCTTTACAGGTTTGATCATAAGAGGGTGCCAAAGAGGAACAAACAGTGTCAGGCACACTGCAACAGAAGACTGGACAAGGAAGGGTAAGAAACCCTGACAGTACCTTTCCTCAATGAACCCTCCCCCCC